TAAAAACTGATTTAGTCTCCCATAATGTTTTAAAATTTCTTTGAATAGAGTTAGTACGATTACATCTAACTTTCAACGAAAAATACTTATATCTGCTAGATGCCATCATGAAATATACTGCATTGCTAAACAAATCATGTTTTGCAAATATAATCAAAAATAAAACAATTTAAAACAAAACTCCTACATATATCTTATAGGACAAAAACATTTTCTAATTTTTGTTTTATGTATACATATGATAACTACTATAAGAATATTACAGTATCTATGCATAAAAAAAAAGGAACAAAACAGGACGCCAAAACTACCGAGACCTATTACTGCTCACCATCGGTTAATAAATATTCATAAACATGCTATCTCTCAAATATCTCAGCATTTTTTTCGATAAAAAATTTTAAATTATTGACAATAGGATTCTCATTCAAATATACCTTGTGATCAAAAAAGAACTTATTCACGGGAACTGTGATTCCCGCGCTTATCGAATCGGCAAATTTTTTTATTTTCACGCTGGCAACACTGTTATACACATTCTGTCGAAGTTTAACGAATATCGTACAATTAGTTTTTGTTTGGCGTCTATACAAAGAAGTCGAAAAATTTTCGCGTGACGATTTTTACCTTATGGCCTCTATGATCTCAAAACGCGTTCCTCGCAATTGCAATTTGAGTCGGAGGAAGAGGAAAAAGTCACACGGTGCCATATCTGGAGAGTACGGTGCTTGGTTGATGATATTGGTGGAGTGTTTGGTCAAAAACTGCGGCTTTTTTTGAATAAAATAAAAAAAAATCTACCGATTGGATAAGCGCGAGAATTCAAAAATAGGCCTCTCGTTCTTTTTTTATCAGAAGGTATCATTTACTGATTTTTTCATTTCGCTCAGCTAAATTTTAAAAACTTTTACTACAACAAGCTTCGATTGAATGGATGTACCTAAACATTAAGTATATTCCAAAGAAACGTACCGACTTTTTCGAAACTATTTTCGATCATTATATTTCGAGTATATAATGAGAAAAATCAAAAGAGAAAAAAGTCAATATGCCTGCATAGTAGATAATTTCTCCTTTGAAACTGTCATATTTACTCTGATAAAGCAAAGAAGTCCTCCAATATTTTCCCACAATGCTCAGGATCATTATTATGATTTAGTGAACTATTTTGGAATTCCTCTTAACTAAAGATTATCTCGGAAAAATAAAATGAGCATCAAACTGATATAATTTTATTTGAAAAACCATGCCATTCACTGCAAATTTATTTCTGTTCAATTGTACTAAACTATACCGATCTAGTTCCAATCTCCACTCCATCCAAAATACTCGTTTTTTTTTTTAATTAAGGTTTATGACTCAATTTCGGTTGAAAAATATATATTGCTTATTGGAAAAACTACCACAATTTCAAGCGAGAAGAAGAACGAGAGGCTTCATAAAAGCATATTAAAAACTTTGAATATATTATATGCAATTCTGGAGCATGGCGACCAAATCAATATATTGATTTTGAAAACTTGATATATAGTATACTCGTATAATATAAACAAACCATTATCTAGATTTAAATATAATATACAATATTATATTAAATGTATTTAAATTATAAATGAAAATACCATAATCAATGAGATGTAAATTTAAAAAACAATCATCCAATATACGACATAGGGATCTTCAAGATATTGTTAATATTTCACTTAGGTTAAGCACAAAATACCTGGCCATCAAACTAATGCAAACTCTTGTTTTCATTACATGTCTCAATCGTGCAATCATAACATAAAGGGAATGAGAATTTTTGCTTTATTTAGTGTGCATACAATTCTTTCTTTATCCATCTGGAATTGATTGGTCTATACACTTTTTCCCTAAAGACTTCATGTAGTCGTACATTGTTGTGCCCTGATACCGAGATAATGTTGATTTGATGCTGTTGTGCTATCTCTAATATTTCTAATATCCATTGTGCTGCATCGTCTATTGCAAGAGTTTCGGATTAAAAGATTCTGCCTTCTAATCTAAAGAAAATATGAGTAAACTTCTAAAAAGCTCATTCAAATGATGAATTGCATTTGAAATACAAATATTTTTGCTTAATGAGGTTAAATCTTAATATTTTGTTTAGATAGCTACCATTAAAAGAATCACTATCAAAATAATTCAGAAAAAATAAGTATAATGATATTAAGCCACGCAATTCTGTTCTACTAAAAAATAATTGTCTTTTAACAAATATTTTTACACACACAATAAACGTTTATAATTTATGAGTGCATTGCACTCTCTTTATTTTTTAACTTAATTATAAATTTGTTAACATTATAAAAAATTTAATTGTAATACTTAAATTAAAGAGTTTGCTATTAAAAAACGAATAATGATGTTCATATGGGCAGAACCAGCGTTAGTGCTGCACACACTAAAAGCAAAGGGAAACTTATTGTAAATGTACACATTTCTCAAAGACAAAGTTTTAATACATACATAGTACACAGCCAGTGAATAAACTAAAAGTCAAGTCACAATATGACTCGAGAAGGGCCCCGATAATGTTGCTGCCAATGACGCTGCCGGAACGTCCCAACATTAAACAAATGCAAACCGCTTTACCCCTAAAGTATGCAATAATAAATCGGTCTTATCAAAACTGTTACTAATAAGAACTTATTTACCTCAAATGTGTGGGCACCAAATCCACCACAGCGCCACTCAATACTGAAATGCATAAGCCAGGCAACATTAAAAACAAACAAAAGACCACAACAATGCTGATGGGCTGAACTAGCCAATTTAACGCAATACCACACAAACCGGATAAACATAAGGCACCAATCATCACACCTTTTCTGCCAATAGGGTTTATGATGATGCCCAGTATTATATAGCCAGCAACGTACGTTAAGCCATATGTAATAGAATCTATATAACTTTTTGTGTTGATAGTATCATCACATAACTAAAATAAAATTTTTCATTATATTTACAATAAATTCAGTTATACCATAATATATTATGTCTATTCTCGTGTACTTACAGTTTCGTTGCCAATTCTCGATTTCTTTTCTATTGACGCATCAATGACTTTACAAACAGTTAATTCTTCATTTGTTCCACCCACACGATTTTGTATCTCAGGATACCACAGACCCATACCAGTAGAGCTGTAATCATTTAATCATTAAATTGTGGAAATAATTGAGAATAATTAGAGTATACCTTAAGAAAACGCCACACATGACGACACAGGAGATGATAAAATTTAGGACATGTGGCCGTTTAAAAAGTGGCTTCGTTTCCCTCCACATCTTTTTAAATGCAGTTAAACTGAGGAGTTAAAAAATTATTGAAGATAAAGAAAAAAAATAAATAAGAATGATTTTAACTTAAATTTACTTACGCTGATTTACTTATGATCAGTACATTTTCTTGTATCGGCTGTGATTCTGTTTTTAAATGAAAAACTTTTAGATCCGATAATGGACGCCCAGTGTTACGCCTGCAGATCCAATTGATTGCATTTAAAGCTTCTTCTTCTTTACTTAACGCAAGCAACATTTTTGGACTTTCTGGTAATTGAGTCAAAACCAAAGATGCTATGAAGCCAGGCAACAAATTAAATAGGATTAAAATACGCCAAGGTCGGAAATCAAAATCATCAGTTATGTGTAATGTCCAGTCCATTGATAGAACTAACCATGCAACAGCTGCAATAATTAATCATTGTAAATTTTCAATTTATTAAAATTTCTAATAAAAATTTTTAATTTAAAATACATGGGCTTTTGACATCTGTGCAAAATTTCAAGTTTTTTTTATATTTATCCAATAGTTCCTCCAATAGAGAGGATTTGTTGAACAAAGACTACGGACTAAATTTTATGTGTGTAATAAAAATTTCGCTAGAGCAATAGGACTTTGGTAACCGGTCTATGTCTCAAAAATAAAGTTTCCAAGTGGTATAAGCAATTCAAAGGAGACAGAAAACGTTTAAAGGCAGAACATCAAGTCGAGAAAGACTTAATACTTAAAAAATTTAGATTGACATTTAGAGACCTCGACACTGTTCACATTTCAATTGAATCGTTTCATACCATTTTGAACATGGTCTTGTGTCAAAAAAGAGTGAAATCTCGTTTGGTTCCAAAAACACTACTATTAGGAAAAATAACGTCGCTTTGAAGTCTATTAAACAAAGCTTTTTGACAAGAAAAAAAAAGTAAGAGAAAATGTATGATAACTGGAGATAAGACTTGGATCTATGCAAACGTCCCAGAATCAATGGACCCGTCAAGCGAGCACCATGCAAAAAATAGCCAACCCCAAAAAGATTGCCTTAAAATCGTTCAAGAATCAAGATCAAGTTTTCTTCGATTATCATGGTATGACACATTATGAATCATTTTTGCACTATGCAGCATTTACGATAAGCTATTCGCAAAATAGGACCAGGTTATGATCAGTAACTTTTGATTTTTGCACTAAAATAGTGTACCACACCACACTGCATAGGTTCTTCGAGACAAATCTTGAACTGTATTGTATCAAGAGAGAAGTACATGGTGTGGATTAGATCAGGATGCAAAGGTGTGGATTAGAAGAATAAACGATTCTATGCCATTTTAAAAATTTTAAACCATTTCACTTTATTTTTTTATCAAAATGGTAGAGAGCAATTTCATTTCTTGAGTAGTAATACCGAATCGATCTTCTAAGATTTTATGTAAATTAATTTAAAAAAATACTTTTCTCTGAAATAAGACTAATATATAAAACACACTCAATTTCAACAAAAATGCTAAAATATTTAATGTAATATTATCTTCTCAGGAACAAACTATTTCCGTATATATATTTATCACAATTGTGCATATTTATTTTCATAAACATTTAATTATGTAAAACTATAAGTAGAAATATTGTATAATAAAAATATTAAAATATTATTAACTTATGAATATTTACCAGGGACGTAGGCCATTGAAATTCCTACAAACATGCTGGCGTAATTAATTACCACTGGCCTATGACGTGCTATGAAAAACTCACCCAGGTATGCATAAGTGGTTGATGAGGCACCTGCAATACTAGAAAAAGAATGAAATATGTATTCTATAATATACTTTCAATATGGGTGTTATAGAAAAATGTTTATATGACAAGGTCTAAATGTGTGTGATACGTACATCATACGTAAGATAAATAATTTTTTCATCTACCTCCTTAAAACAAGAATTTTGTTTAAAGAGTATTTATCTTCTAAAATTATTTTCATTTGAATAATTTTTGTTATACCTAGAAGATATTTATTATTGCTAATTTTTATAATGACTCTAGTGAAATAATTCTTCTGCAGCTACCCAACTGTAGACACTTCTCACAAAGAACTGTCCGTTCTTTAAGGAATCCACAATAGGATTAAAAGAAGATAAAAATGATTTTAATATTGATAATATTTATATATGGTTTTAAAGAAATTTGTAAATGCTATTAATAGGAGCATTGGTTATTATTCCATTTATTTCTAAGATATAAGAATATATATTATGCTCTATAGCTAGTAGCTGAGAGCTGTTGGTGTGCGTAAGAGAAGTGGTGGGGTTTTATTTATAACTGACTCTTTTTTAAAGTGAATTTAATTGAAACATGAACATTTTTGCATGGTTATGATAAAGAGTTTATGATGACTTGCGTAAAGACTTGCGTAAATAATATTAATGATTAGTTTTAGTTCAATATAAATTATGCATATATATAAAATTATTTTTACTTACAAAATACCAACCAAAAACCTTGTTGCCACAAAAGCCCAAAAGCTCGGTATAAACATTGAAACAATTGAGAAAACATTTCCAGTTAAGGAGGCGTATATAAGTATAAGACGGCGCCCAACTGTATCGCTCAAATAACCCCAAAAATATGAGGACAATAATATGCCTGAAATTTAAAATTTATTATTTATTTAAGTAAATAATTAAATACACATTTATAATATTTAATTATTAAGGAATTAACAATTTAAATTAGTTTAAATATTTTAAAAACCAGAGCAAACATCTAAGTTGTAGAAATTGTTAAAATTTATTTTTAAAATACTTTTTGAGAAACTGCGTATCTACAAAGTTAAGATAACTCACTTTTATTGTAAATGCATGAATACGTCATTTATTATATACTTAGAGCAATGTATATATAACGCATTATAAACAATAAAATATTAATTAAAATATTTGTTTGCAGTTTATATAAAACAGATAACATTTGCGACCAGATATGCGATTATTTGCATAATTTTTAATAAATTAAATTAAATTAATTTAGGTTAATTTAGTTTAATCATTAACGGGCAGATTGATATATATCACTTCTTTAATTAAATTATTAGTAAAATTTATTTTAATATTAAAAATTAATAATATAAATTAATTGATATTATTGGTTTATCTCATAAGATTGACGTTCTGTAATTTCTTAATATTGAAGATACTGAGTGAAGTCTAATGGCATAGTATTTTATTAATTATATATTTTTCAAAAAAACTATATCTCTGTATACTAATTATTAAAGATCTATTATTCATAAGTATGAGAAAACAAAACTAGAAATGTACAAAATATTGATTCGCCCAATAGTAACATAAACTGATAAACTGAAACTGAAGCAAGCAAGAAAACGGGATGGGTTAGACATCTGATAAGAATGCCGGATATAAGAGTACCGCTTAATATTTATGAGAACGAAATAGGAACTAGCAGAAGAAGAGGGCGACCAAGAAAACAATGGAAAGATAGTGGTCAGCAGAATTTAGAAGAAATGAACTTAAGAAATTGGAAACCAAAAGCAAAAAACAGAGAAGAATGGAAGGATGTTGTTAGACAAGTTTAAGTCCTACATGAACTGTATAGTCACGGATGATGATGATTCATAAGTATGCATGACTTTAAATAAAATCTAATGTAAAATTTATATAGATAATATATATAAAATAAAACTACGTAAAAATTATCTGATTAATTTTGCTAAAATTTTTTTAAAATATTATTATACTAGGAAGATAACGAGTAGGCTATTTAGTTCTAACAGATAAGCAGCTGTTGCTCTCAAGAAATATAAAATGTGTAGTCAAAAATTTGTTCTTTATCAAAATGTATCGAAAAAAAGGATCAAGAACAAAAGTCTGCAATTTTTATTGAACTTCAGCTTTTTATTATTTAGATTCATTATAAAGTATACAGCGATTAGAAATGTTAATGAAGATGTATTCAGTTTAATATTTATATCATTTGAAGGAAATGTGTATAAAATAAAAATTTTAAACTTGAACTATAAATATTAATTTTATTCAATTAATTTAACATCAATTTTTTTATTAAAAAAAAAAAAGTAGTTTTTACTGATATCAAAATAAAATGGCACCAAAAAGAAAAAATAGTCATTAGAATGCTTACAATAGTACCTGCAATGGTATAAGGCTAAATGATATATTAAATAAAATGAACTAAAATGCCAGAACAACCATAGGTTGCAACTAAAACAAATGAAACAATTAATAAAGATTCTTCGGAAGTTGATTTCTAGTGGAACCAAGCAATACATATGTGCTATATATATATTAACTTAAAATACAGAAACCAAATCATTAATATAAGAGGCACTAACGTCACGTCTTCTAATAAAACGCAATGAAGAGAATATATGTAGTTATTTGATAATTGCAAGACTTCCCATTTTAAAACATCTAAGGATTTTTTAATAGTTTAAAATACTTCCAAGACTTGTGAGATTTGTATGGAAAAACAATAAAACTAACAACCTTTTTTGATCCTGAGAATCGTCGAAATAACATAAGTTTCTACCTATATAGGTTATTACGATGAAACGATGGATTTGGTTATTTGATGAGAAGCTGAAATGGGCTCTGCTTAAACTTTATTAAGTTAACTTATTACCTTTCTCGCATTTTCTCGCGTAATAAGATCTACATTAAATAAAGAATAAGTTTGAAGGGTATTTGCATATTTATAAAAGATACATGTATCCATATAAAACACTTCTAGCTTTAAAAATCAATTTCGAAAACATATCTTATTTTTAAAAATCATATACAAATATTATTAATAATAAAGTTGTCAAGGGCACAACCCTTTCTTTTATAAAACCGCATTGACATCAGTTTATTTTAATTAATTTTTTAATTAGTTAAGCTGAAACGTAGTTGAAGTAAATCATATGCAAATATGTGTTCCAAACAGCTAAGATATTTTATTAAGCACTGATTAAAATTTGCATATCACTCAAATATATGCCATATTAAATATATTGCTCTGCTTACATATTAAATGTGGCATAGTGCTATACTCGATATCAATGTTAACAAAATAATAATATTTATCTAATAATTTTAAATATCTTATATTAAAATAAATTGTATTAATAAAACGTACCGATAAAGCAGGCCGCACTTAATATGGCTTTTTGAACGGAATTCGTTTCGAAATCACACTGAGAAGCGATTGTGAGTATGCTCATCCCCATCGTTTCATTAATGACCATCATTAAAAGCAACCCACATGTGAATAAAACGATCCATTGTGTTGAACCGAATCCTTAAAAAAATTATTATTTTTCGTTTTTATTTCGTATTAAATGATTCATTTTTAATAATTTTAATGCCAACTTTCGTGTAAGTACCAATTAAATTTAAGATCTCCTCATATTCATAACGTTTTTCATTATCCTTCGAGTTTTCCGAAATTTTATTTTGTAACTTTCTATCAATATTAACCGATATTGTTTCTAATATATCTTTCGTTGCCATTTTCTAGACACGCTCACTTGTTTACTTATATATAAATTTGATGTGATTTGAATTTAATTTTTTAATTAAAACTAGAATTATAGGTTGCACTGTTTTCCGTAAGACACACCATTCCAATGCCCTGAACAAATTAAAACTGAACTATAAAATACAACTTATGAAATTAGATGTTTTCCCCGTTCCAAGTGCCAACACTTAGAACTTGTCGAACGCGGCGAGTGTAGAAGACTGATATTGATACTAGTGCAAGCTGACAGAGCACAGCCACACTAAGATAGATATTATTTTTATCGAAATTATCAATTAAAATGGATTCTTCGTATGTCAAACGTTAACACTTTATCTTAACGCATTTATGTTTGCATACTACAATAAAAATGTACGTTAATTGGAGACAGCATATTCAGTTAGTAGATTGTTTAGTACGAAAGCGAGATCTACAATGTAAGGTAAGCACTTTCAATGGAAAAATTACAATATTTAAATGAATCATACCACTTTTTATAATTGACATGGAAAGAATAATATTATAAAATAAATATGTAGTAAATATTATGCAAAATATGAGATTAAGTAAGTTCTTAATACCTAACATATAGTTATATATATTTTAAATTAAATGTATTCTATTTACCAAAGGTTGGTTGGTTGCAGTGGCAAGCCATTAGATGACTTCCACTACCATATTCCTTGCAAGAACCCTAGTATACAAAAGTAGAGACTAAATTCTTCCCCCCGAATTAGATCATTTAATAAGTATTTCGTCTTAACCGCTGAACAATATGATAAAATATCATAGAAGTATCATTCTGAGAACCTATATCTTCTGAACGTCAAAGCTGGGCATTCACATTCTATTTACTAATAGAATAGAAGTTATATTTTAACAATTTTATTTATTTAAAGACTTATTATTCTTCTTAATCTTATTCTACTAACTCGAAAACTATTGTAAGAACATAGTTTATCAACATTTAGATACAAATGAATAGATGGACGATGGATAAACTCACCTTGTCGCAGTGATATATATGTTTTATGGTATAGGTATCATTTTTGGATTGGATACAGAGATACAACATACACAATTGAAACATCATTTTTTATATCAGGGAAGTTAAATAAACATAAATACAGAAGTTAGCAAATATTTATCCTTAATAAAATAAATAAAAATAAAACACAATTCGCAACAATCGATTTGTTACAATTACAAAAATTAATTACTAACAATAGTTATAACATCAGACTTAATACATAGAAACAAATCAGTGGTATCTAGGTTAATATCTGTCTTTACAGGGCACTAGACCATACGACAGCATGGAGCTAGACTTGACCTACCATGTGGTATCTCCTGCACTACGTGTCTACCAGCTATCGAAGAAAGGACACCAGAACACCTGATGTGTCTATAACCAGGTTTGGCCAGAACTAGGCTTAAGATTCTAGAGGCCCCCTTCTTCAACACACTTACCGACATCTCTAGGATTAGCATTGACCAGATTCTTGCCTTTATAAATGTCTCTGGCTGGTTCTAGCTTGACTTTCAAATTTTGTGGATTCAAAACGGCTTTTTTAGGTAATTGAGAAGGACTTGTTTCTCCCTCCACCACAACTAACTAACTATAATTAGAACACTTTAACTTATTTTGATAATAAATTAAAAGCCAATAAAATTCTAATCAACACAATCTAATTAATTCTATTAAAATATATTTGCATTACAAATGGTATTAACATTACAAATATACATTGTTATAACATGTTTTCGTGCAAAGTTATATATATTATATTTATATATATATATATATATATATATATATATATATATTAGTTTATAAATGTAATATGCAAAATTCAATAATACATTATAAGACTAAAATAATGTTAGTTAATTAATTTAATTTAATTTAATTAATTTAATTTATAACTGTAATATGCAAAATTCAATAATACATTATAAG